GAATAAGAGATTGGCTTTTTAAAGAGTACCGAGTAGGGGACCTTGTTATGAATGGCTTTTGAAGGTAAGAGATTTAAGATGTGGACTGCCGTATGTAAAGCTTCAACCCAGAAAGAGGAAGGGAGATGAGCTTGGAAAAGAAGACATCGCATAGCATTGTTGATCGTGCGAATCATCCTTTCAGATTTTCCGTTTTGTTGAGAAGTGTGAGGACAAGAAAAACAGAAGGTTATACCATTTTCTGCAAAAAAATCATGAAACTGAGAGTTATCAAATTCGCCTCCGTTATCGCACTGAAACGATTTTATAGTAGTGCCAAACTGAGTTTTAACATAGTTGGCAAAATGGAGGAATTTTGAAAAAGTCTCATGTTTATATCGCATAAGGTACACCCAAAGAAAGTGTGAGTGATGATCAAGGAAGAGAACATAAAATTTGATACCACTTGCACTTTGAACCGGCGAAGTCCATAAGTCGGAATGAATAATTTCGAATGGATGATCGACTGATGTGTTTGAATGAGCAAAAGGAAGCTTTATTTGTTTTCCAAACTGGCAAGCAGAACAAATAGGTGATGAAACACGTTTATTACAAGAAAAAGCATTAGAAGAAATAAGAGATTTCAGCGTGTGGTCACTGGGGTGTGCCAAACGCCGATGCCAGTCGGTTATTGTTGCAGAAAGTGCAGAAGGGAAACTCGCTAACTGAGAAGAAGGAAGAATGGGATAGAGATCTCCGGTACTGTCACTGCGGAGAATCGTCTTCCTCGTATGAAGATCCTTCACAGAAAAACCAAAAGGATCAAACTCAACAGAACATGAATTGTCTTTTGTGAACCGTCTAACAGAGATTAGATTTTTAATAATAGACGGTGTTACAAGGACAGTATTGAGAGATAAAGGACAAGATCTGGTAGAAAAAGTAAGAGTACCAGATTTTGTAATCGGAATCATACCTCCATTTGCAACTGTAACAGTTTTTCCGATGCCATTTTTAAAAACAGACTTAAGATTACTTGTGTTGTTAGACAAGTGTGCCGTCGCTCCGGAGTCCATATACCAATTGTTGTCAGACGGATCCATCAACGTGAGGGTGTTGTAGGCTTGGGGAAAGTCCATCTGTGTCTCGAGCTTTTGGTTTCCTCCATTGGAAGACTGTCCCTGTGTTTGGCGTTGTGGTCTTGGTCCAAGAAGCCCCGGTTGTGGTGTAGATGAGTAGGGTAGTTGAGTCCAGGGATTGTACTGCTGAGGAGCCCACATCTGAAAACCACCTTGCCAGTACGGTGAAGTCCACGGATTGAATGGAGGTCGAGATCCATAGTGTTGGTTGCGTCCCCTACCTCGATATCCGCCTCTGCCACGATGACCTCTGTTTTGAGTGAAGCGTTGTTGCTGATGGTTCTTGTTGTGGTTTGGCTTCTGATCAGAAGTGGAGTCAGTTGCTGCGAGTACCTTTGCTGAAGAGGCAGAGTCGGTGTGAGACGGAGTTGGCTTCTTTCCTTTGTTGAGTCGTTCTTCCTCAAGAAGTAGCATCGATCTGGCGTCCTCAAAACCAGGGAATGGCTGACGGTGCATGATGACATTGATGATGTTGTCGTACTTGCTATTGAGGCCATTGATTAGGTAAGTCACCAAGGTTCTCTCACTCACTGGAGAGCCGACGTTGTCAAGTAGATCAGCAATAGACTTGAGTTCTTGGCAGTAGGAGTGAATCGTGCGATCTCCAATTTCAGTGTTGCGAAGCTTATGGTCTAGTTGAACGGCTCGGGCCTCCCGGTTGTTACGGTAGAAGTTCTCCAAGCGCAGCCAAATCTCTCTTGAGGTACCGCCGGTTTTGAAGATGCTTTTGAAGAGATTCTTGGAGAGAGTACCGTAAAGCCATAGCTTTATTAGACCATCACGTTTTTGCCAAGCGACATCGGCATCGTTAGTTGGTAATAACGTTCCATCTAGGTGTCCTGCGGCATCAAAACTCTGACAGTGTGTGAGGAAGAGTTCCCACCAAGCATCGTATTTGCCGTCATCAGTATCGAGAATCACAGGTATGTGATGTTTGATGTTGGTAACACCATAAGCACGTTCGAGTTGTGCTTGTGCAGCCGCCATGAGAAGAAGTAGAAGAGAAAAAGAAAAGAGAAAAGAGATTGCAGAAGGAGAAGAAAAAGAAGAAAAGAGGCGCAGAGATTAACGTGGTTCTGGATTGCTAGAACCCTCTGATACCATGAAAGTAGGAGTATTTCCCTTGAATAGTATTTGCGTTGATCATCAGAATATATAGTACAATCAGTTGAGTATATACTCTGGTATCTTTACAGGAATATAGCAGATTAATAATTATGCTATTTACTAATAGTTATCTTATCTAATAAAAACTTCCAATGGCTTCAACATCTGATGAATGACATCCATTGGCTTCTCCCTTCCTTAGGATTGTGGAGTTTGGAAAAGATTAATGTAAAACGCAGTGGCGGAGGCAATAGCCTTGAGTGTGACAAGAGATCAGAGGTTTCACTCCTATGTTTCTACGGGTGGTCCTCATTGGCTTCAGGCTATGATTGAGAGTGTGTTTTCAGATGAATATATTTGTAAGGTGCTGAGTGTTGCTGCTGAAGTGGAATCGGATGGCGTTATCCTTTCATCGAGTTTGTTGGTTGAGAGTGTGATAGAGTCTTGATACTGATAACTCGAAGAACTTGTAATCTTTATTAAGAATCATCAATGAAATGTTTACAACTTGATGTACAATCGAGAATTACAATCTCATAGCAAAAGTAATCTCAGATCATCGTTCTCATAACGAACTTGAAGTTCTGACTCATATCGTCAAGAACATACAACAACAAGCATAAACTCTCCAATTCAATCTACAAACTTATTTATACGCCTCTTTTCGTTCCTTCCCTCTTCGATCAGGAAGATAACGGGAAAGCCTCTAACTGAGTTAGAAGGTCTTAGCCGAAGAGCTAATGGCAAAGACTCTTGCGCTATTAAAAGGTTCGATTTCTTCTCTTTCATTTCCCACCACTTCTTCCACGTCACTCCCTCTCTTCAACTCATCTCCTCCTTTCTTCTTACGACGTAAGCTTTATGATACCTATCAGAGTGCGTAGGATATCTACTGATATCATTATGGGCCTCCCACTTTTCTCTTCCTTTAGCTGATATCTTTGTTGCTTGTTTATTTCCATTTGAATCTGGAAGGGACCTCGATGCTGTTATGACCCCCCCCCCCTCCCCCTCCCGAACCTCATGCGTTTTCCGTTTATTAAACCCAGCGTTATAAAAAAGGAATTGTGGTTATGGTTTTATTCTTTGAATGTAGAGTTCATCTTTAGAATCTTTTTATAATGGTAATTACATACTCAACAACGGATAGCAACAGAAAAAAAATTGTTTGTCAATTGCTATAGATTGAAATAAGCTTCTCTATTATTTTATTCATGAATAGATTTATAAGATGCCGGCAACTTATCTCGTTTAAGGTTTATCTGTATTTTATTTTTATATTTAATCAGGACGGTTGTACACTTCTTATGATATTGTTTCTTAAAATTTTAGTTATTTTCTATTGATTGCGACTTTGTGAGTTGTGACATTCACAGACATAGAAGGAAACAATGTTATGGATAATGAATGACACTGAAATGGGGTTGTCTCTCTATTCACAACATTCATTAAGTTGTTCTCTTCTAGACTCGGTTGCCATCCGCATAATGCAAGAGACTGATATGTGCGTATGCAAAATCTAATACATGAGAGACATGTATCTTTCCTCACATGAGAGGTATGGTTATGACCTTCCAATTTTCTGAACGATTTATTTCATAAGGAAAATATATTTTAACAGTACGGCATCCGTAGGTGATCTTTTGAACCTAGGATTGTTTACGAATTGGAGATGATGATATAATAATCATACAATAGAGCTTCTATAAATTAATATTTGATAAATTAATAATCTCTATAAATTAATAAATTTTGTCGGTTCCAATTTGGACCAGTTCAAAATTTGATACAAATCGATAAAATAATAAGATAATAATTATTTAAAAAATTTTATGTAAATATATGATCCCATTAATTAAAATTATAAATTACTAATTATATGTATACATATATTATATAAGTAAGGACATATCATTATATTGTTTATTTTATATTCACAATGGAATTTTTTATATTTTCTTAACAGTTATTATATTTTTGAATAGATTTGGATATATTATGTCTAAAATCACATTTAAATTGTATGCAATATATATCACAAATTAATATAATAAAATTAATAAAAGTGTCAAAATTTTAAAAATAATAGTTAATGTTTATATACTAAAAGCAAATATTTTTCTTATTTTATAAAAAAAAAATATTTTAAAATAAAAATTTAAATAAGGAAACTTTTGTAAATTAATATCTCTATAAATTAATTAAATTTAAACTCCCAATATTATTAATTTATTATAGAGATTTTATTGCATTTGGATATTATAGAAATAACTATGATTAAAAATGGTCGTGTGTCCAACAAAGTTGTTCTTGACATAAAAAAAAATAGCGTACAACGTGCATATTATATAAATAAAGTTATACCCTTCATGTTATTCTGTAGTATGTCAATTCAGTCTCTTGCTCCTCATAGTACATAGTACCGTATAGAAGACTTTAGACGTGATATCCATTAACTTGACAGTTTCAGTGATTTGACCTCATGAAATCACCCTAAACCCTTCAATTTATTAGTAACTTGGGTTTCAGCGTTACCGTCGACCTTTTGGCATATTCCTCTGAAAAATATATGAAGCCACTTTAGTTTACCAATTACTTTTTGTTTTGTTCTGTGTCATGGAATTCATTTTGCTGTCTTGACTAAGACATAGTACCCAGGAAGAAGTTATATACCATAAAGATTCTTCCGAAAAGCAGTCGTATATATCTGACTTTGGTGTCACATTCAGTGGGAAGAAAAAAAAAAAATAAAAAAAATAACTCCTTCTGTTCCCAATGATTCGAGGAGCGCTTCTTGGAATCATCTGGATGACATATTGTGTCTGCGCGTCATTCCAACAAGAGACGACGTTCGTCTACAACGGCTTCGACCAAGGAGACCTTAGTATTCACCTTCAGGAGAGTGCAAAAATCCTTCCAAAAAAAGATATCTTGCAACTGACGAATGCAACTACAACGCAAATGGGTCGGGCTTTCTTCGAGCAGCCTATTGTGTTCAAACCATCAGAACCAGTTTCGTTCTCGACACATTTTGTCTGTGCGCTTGTCCGTGTTGGTGAGGTTCGTGGCCATGGCATGGCGTTTTTTGTGTCCCATTCCACTGATTTCAAAGACGCCGAACCAACTCGATACTTCGGGCTTTTCAACCCTAGTGGATCTGCTTCCACACGTGTGTTGGCTGTTGAGCTTGATATTGCTAAAGCTTCGGATGTGCAAGACATCAATGATAATCATGTTGGGATTGATGTGAACAGTCCAAAGTCTCTGGTAGCTGCTCCCGCGTCTTATTTCTCAGACAAAGAAGGTCGGAAGATAGGCATAGAACTCGTGAGTGGCGAGCCTATCCAGGTCTGGGTGGATTATGTGGGAACAAGACTGAACGTTTCATTGGCTCCTCTTGGAAACCAGAAACCAAGCCGACCTCTTTTGTCATCCAAATCCATCAATCTTACGGAGATTGTGCAAGGTAGAAGAATGTTTGTAGGCTTTTCTGGTTCAACAGGGTCAAGCGTGGTGAACCAGTATGTACTCGGGTGGAGTTTTAGCAAAAGCTTGGCGTCCTTGCAGAAGATTGACATCTCAAGACTTCCCAAAGTTCCTCATCCTAGCATTAAAAATAACTATTTATCTCGGGTGCTTGATGTTCTGCTGGGTTTGCTAGCTTTCTTAGTTTTGGGGCTTGTTTTTTGGGCTTATATGTATAGGAGAAACTTGTACGCCGAAGTAAGAGAAGAATGGGAAAATGTGTATGGTCCACTCAGGTATTCCTATAAATCTCTATACAAAGCAACAAATGGGTTTAGTAAATCTGAATTCCTTGGGAGGGGAGGTTTTGGTGAAGTGTACAAGGGAATACTGCCTCAGAGCATAGAGCTGAGAGAAGTGGCTGTGAAGAAAGTATCACATGAAGGTGAAGATGGTATGAAGCAATTTGTCGCTGAGATCGTGTGCATGAAGAATTTAAAACACCGGAGCTTAGTTCCACTTCTTGGGTATTGCAGGAGGAAACATGAGTTAATACTGGTCTCTGAGTACATGCCAAATGGTAGCCTTGATGGTTATTTATTTAATAATGATAAACCGAGTCTTCCCTGGTGGAGAAGATATGCCATTATCAAAGACATCTCCTTAGCTCTTAATTACTTACATACAGAAGCTGACCAAATTGTTATACACAGAGATATCAAAGCTTCTAACGTTATGTTGGACGCAGATTTCAACGGAAGGTTGGGAGATTTTGGTATGTCAAGGTTATACGAAAGAGGGGCTGATCCAACCACAACAGCTGCAGTTGGGACTGTTGGCTACATGGCACCTGAGCTTGCAACATTAGGAGCTTCTACTGTGACTGATGTATACGCTTTTGGTGTTTTCTTGCTGGAAGTAACCTGTGGAAGGAGACCTGTGGAGCTTGGTGTGTCGATTGAAAAACGTTTTCTGATCAAATGGGTTTGTGAATGCTGGAGAGAGTCATCTTTGCTTGATGCTATAGATCCAAGGCTGACCCAGTTCTCATCCGAAGATGTCGAGAGGGTTCTGAAAGTCGGTTTGCTCTGTACAAACCTTGCTCCAGATGCAAGACCGTCTATGGAGCAAGTGGTGCAGTACATAAATGGAAACGTAGCAATGCCCGAGGTTTGGCCAGATTCTCCCGGAATTGGAGTTCTCACTCCAATGGTTTTTTCACCATCACAACACTCTCTCCCTTCCCTATCATTGTGTTCTTCCTCATACAACAACTCTATGTTTATTACTCATACAGTCTTCCACGGGAGTGGACGATGAAAGTTTCTAACAACTTCCCATATCATCTTTTGCCTCTTGTCATAAACTGTTTTTCAACCATTTCTATTGGCTTTTTTGTTTCATTGTATTCTCATATCTTGTTCATTAATGACATTCTCTGAAAAAGAACTGATCTTTTTCTGAAAAGTTCTTGTAGCTACTTTTACTAAATAATTTGACAATTGGTTGTTGTCATTCTTTATTCAAAGGCATGAGCCAAATAGATTAAAGACTCTCAAACATCAAAGATTTTCCAAGCTATTACTTTGTCTTAGATTCATTAGCTTTTGTTCCTTTGACAACCTTTGTTCTGTAGCGAGAGAATTGATACATAATTTGGTCATGAATTTTTTTCTTTCAAATGTTAGGATTTCTATTATGTATTATGTATTATTGCATAATAGAGAATCCTAGAAGATGCACATGATTCAGGTCACATGCTACTAAAGAGTTGAAACATTCAGAGGTTGTGACAGTTCAACTTTCTGTGTTAAAAAAAAATAAGTCTTGGTATGACAAATTAGTGATAAGCCTTGGTTATCTTAGTTTAGGTTTCTTAAATTTTTTATTTTATTTTATTTTTGTTGATAGATTTTTAAAAAAATTAAAAAATAAATCAATTGTAGACCGCCACGTGTCGTGGATCATAAAAAAGTCTAAGCAACGAACAAAAACGTCCCTTCTTTTTACATACACGAGCAACATCTACTATGTCTTATGTGGAGCCCACGAATTCTAAATCAAATTTTTGGTTATAAAATCAAGAGTAAGAGATCCATTTAAACATGCTTTAAAAAACCTTGTAATTTAAACAAGAAACGTTGCCGGTTTCTATTTACATGGGAAAATGGTCAATTCCAACCATTTCTGTCATGATTTTTTTTCTACTTGAACTTTGATATCATGATGACTTCATCATGAACTAATATATTTCAAGTAAACTATCTGAATCATTAAATTCAAAATGAAATCATCTTTGATCGCAATAACATTAATGATCCATCTATAAATATATTCAAAAATATATATTCAACAAACACACACAATAGATAGTACCAAAAATATACCAAAATCAAAATATACCAAAAACTCCATGAAAAATTATATATACTCAACATCCCAGAAATTTATCTAAAAACAACAATTTTATCTCAATCTCTAAAAAATGAAAAATAAGAAATACAAAAAAATGTAATACATAAAAATATCTAATATATATATACAATATTTATTATTATTCGGGTATCAAATAGTTTCGGTTATAAACGAGAACATAAACGGTTTTAAAATCCTAGAGTACATGACTGAGGTTCACATATGGCTATTTTAGTCGATTAAATACATGAATAATCTAATGTATTACTTATTTTTGGGCATCACAATAAAATCTCAGGATTTTTATTTTCTTGGAGTTTTGGTATATTTGGGAGTTTGAGTATATTTAAATTTTCTGGTTATGGGGGGGGGGGGTTGAGTATATTTTTAAGTTTTGGGGTATTCTATATTTTTAGGACATTGGTTTTATTTTTTGGATTTTAAATATTGTAGAGCTGACTTGGTTTAATAGTTTTCAGTACATGTTGGTATAATGTGTGTGTATTACATTATTTTTTTTTTTTGTATTTCATAATTTTGGGGGTTTTTGGAGTTTGAGATATAACTTTAGTTTTTCTATATACTTCTGGGAAGGTTTGGTGTTTATAATTTTTACTGGTTTTTTGGTATATTTTATTTTTTTTGTATATTTTTGGTACTAGTTTTTGAGTTATTGGAATATATTTTTATTATATATATAGATAGTTGACCGACATTAGTTGATTTCAGGTTTAAATTTAATAGTTCAGATAATTTATTTGAAATCAAAGTTCGTTCAAAATGAAATCAACATGCATAGGTTGCATGGAAACTCCGTTTAAGGTCTGTTTACTGTTTCGGAATCGGAATCTCTTCGAAACTCGAGGAAACTCTTTGGAAACACGTTTCTTGAAAATTTAATTTTGGAAACACGATGGAAACTTGTGTTTCTGATTTTGAAACTCGTGATTCTAATTTGGAAACTCGCGATTCTAATTAGAAACGTAAAAAAAAAACTGTTTGCATTTGATGTTATTGATTACATGTTTATTATTTTATATTTTAATATTATCTTTTGATATTTGTTATCATTTTAGTATAATGATTTGATTTGGAATGAAGTCTCTCCATAATTTTATCGAATGATAACATGTGTTACTATTCTAATTATTGATTATAATTTTAATAAAATGAACAAAAATTATTTATATTACTTAATTTTTTTTAGATAAATCAAACAAAAAATAAGTTTACAAGTTGATTAATCATACACTAGATTTTGACCCGCGCTTGAAAGCGCGGAAATTTTTTATGATTAAAAATTTATATAATTGATTTTTGTCTTAATTTAAATAATTTTTTGGTATAAAATCAGTTCACCAAAGTTTGTGGTGATGATTGTTTTTCATTAGTTTTTAGTTTCATTTTTTTAATTTTAGATTTTGTTTTAAAATTTTGGTTTTTAGTTTTAAGTTTATATTTTTGATTTTCAGGTGTTGGTTTGAGTTTTTTTAATTTTTAGACCCGCTGAGTTAGTTTGAACTGATATTACCAATAAACAAATCTCAAATAATCAAACATCTAATTTAAAGCTGAAAATATGACAAATTTTTTAAAAAAAATTTGCAATAGTTTATTTTGTAAATAACCAAAAGCAAAAAATATAACCTGTGTTTTCAGCCTTTGGTTTGGATTTTAGTTTTTAGAGTTAGTTTTTGATTTTGCTTTACATATTTTTTTATATCTATAAATTATTTAAGAAAAATAAAACAATAAATTATTTAAAATTTACCATTGAAATTTATCAAAAAAAGTGACTGTTATTTAAAATAAAAAATACATTAACATGTTTTAAAGTACATGATTTAAATAAATGATTAATAATATATAATTTTTTTTTGTTAAAAATATTAAATTTTGAGCCTGAAAATAATAATTGATTTTTTGATCTAGTAAGGTGAAAAGTTTATTCAATGTTTTTTGGAATTTTCCTTAATACTAAGCCCAAAAACCAAACCATATAATTTGTTTTAAAAATAAAAGAAAGCCCAATACTATATCCCATAAATAACCACCGGTTTAATTTAAGTAATACGGTTCAATTAACTATATGCTTTGTATTATTTGTAACATTCTAGAAAAGGTCCAAAGTTAAATGACAACTTGTATTATTAGATAAAAAGAATGACTCTATTTTAATAGAGTAGATATATATACATATGTATATATATATATATATTAGGCGTTTCTAAAACGTTTCTATTTCTAATTTTTTTGAAAATCATGTTTCAACGTTTCGAAACGTTTCGTTTCTACATATCTGTTTCCGATTCCATGCAACCTAGCGACATGCTATCAAAATTCAGGTAAAAAAAAAACCCGAAGGGAATTGTTGAGATTAGTACTGACCTTTTTCTTGTATTTAACGACTAAATAACGTCCTCTTATTCAATAAAATCGATACCTCATCTATACTATTAAAGCATATGACTGTTTTGGTTTCTGCCCCTGAATTTTCCAATTAATTACAAAATTTGCCTCTTTCATTTTTTAAAATATTGCAAAACTGGATTTTTTCTTTTCATTTTACCAAACATTCCAAATGGGCTCAATCTTGATACCTCACGAAATGGGCTTCAATATTTCAGATCTGCAAATGGGCTGTAACATCTTCAAATGTTATAATCCTATACCCTAAACTCTATTCAGATAATCCTATACCCTAAAATCTATTCAAACCCTATGCAAACCATATCTACAATCCAGTTCCCTAACCTTATGTTATGTACAGTAACTGAAATGTGAATTATAAATACTAACTTTATTCAAATTAATCCAATACTAATGTATACAATCTTAGTTCTTAAATAAACAAATTGTGTTATGCAAATTCACACGATAATATTCATTCCGAGAACTGAAACCCATGGTAGACAACTGATAATTTCGAGTAAGATTATGAATAAAAATAATATTATGAATAACAATAATATTGGGATACTCATATATATTCGGGTAAGATTCAAAATTTATTGACTAAAGAGAATATCTATGGATTTCCCAAATATTAATCCTAATCAATATTCAATACTAAATGAGATCCTAATCAATATTCAATACTAAATGGACGATTTACGCAGATAATATATTCTGTTCACCTATATTTATGGATTTCCCAAATACTAATCCTAATCAATATTCAATACTATAGAGAATATCCCCCAACTTTCTCCCCAAGTTTCTCTTAAAACCTAAGCATGTCCCTTATATTATAAATAGACAGCACCCTATTCCGATTATCTCTACACACCTTCAAACAAAACAGTAAACAAAACAATGGCTACTAAAATGCAAATCCAAGCATCAAGAGTTTCTAATGACAAAGTGGTCCTTTTACACGACTTGAAACCATGGAAAAACACATGGTTGGTTCATGTAAAGGTTCTACACGCTTGGAAACAAAACATTCAATCCGTGGAGACCATGTAATTCGTTTTGTATTTATCATTCTGTTCTTTATCATTGTTTCGAGTGTTATTTGATGTTTCTATATTTTTGTTTTACATGTTTAAGGGGCAAAAAATCCATGCAACATGTAAAAGGACTTACATTGAAAGTAAGACAAGGCTTCTTACAGTTGGAGCATGGCGCTACATCCGGAATTTCCAGATTACTCCTGCTGGTGGAGCTTATCGAACCACAAATCATACCTGGAAGATGGTTTTCAATCAGAACACGGCCGTTACGCGATCTAATCACGTTAATGAAGATTTGTACCTGGATTTGGCCGACTTTCAATCTGTTTTGTCTGGAAGTCTGGATGACAATTTATTGATTGGTAAGCATAAATTTTTTTAGATGTTTCATGCTATCTCGAGTGTATTATATACTAGTGTAAACATATACCTGTTTTTGCAGATGTTCTG